AAACAGACCCGTTGTTATTTGTTTTGCTCCAAGTAATAGACAAAGCAATTGTTACCCAGGCTCAGCGCTGTGCCGTCAGCACGTAGTCTGGGTTCTTGAGCTCACGAGTGGGCTCCGATGGCCTCAGAAATGTAGTTTGTTCTCCCTGTTAAGGTCACTGTCCAGGACAAGGTGGGGTAAACAGTATTCCAAGCAAGCCATGTGTTACCCAGAATTGATCACAGGAAGCTCATGGCAGTGAGGCTGCCCGGGACCCTGCGTGTGCAGCAGGGCAGGGCCTCTGCCGCTCTGGCCGGGAGGTGCCCCCTCCCCACTCCCATCTCCACCCCACCCCATAGGCCAGCAGGATTTGAAGGAAGAAAAACAGCAGCAGCGGCATTCCTGGGCTTGGCCTGCACTGCGCTGATGTTTTTAAAGCATGGGCCGCAACCGCAGAGGTATCTTCAGCCTCACTGCCTGCTTGCCTGCCTGGAAATCCTTGCAGTACCCTTTGACAAGCCCAGCAGGTGGGTCTCTCAGGCTGGTCTGGGGTTTGGGGACCTACACTGCCGTTTCTTCTTCCTCTTTATTTGGGCTGTCCTTTCCTGAGCCTCCCAAGCAACGCCAACGGCAGCTCATGCTGCCGTGAGCTTCACTTTTTCCCGGTGCCTCCTCATTATCTTAACACCCTCTTTTTCTAATCAACTGTTTAATTACACAAGCCACATCAGGGCTTTCTACATCAGGGTCTCCCTTACACGGGAGACAGAGGCTCACATAGCACGTAAGAAACAACGTGTTGCCGTGAGAAGTTAGTAAGTCAACCTGGACTTCGACCTGTCATCAGCCAGAGAACAAGAGGGATCCTGTCCATGGCAACACCCACCTAGAATAGCACCTCTCCCTAAAACAGGATTTCACCCCGTTGCAGCGTTCTGTGCTGTCCAGGTAGAAGTGCTGGCGCCGCTTGGGAGGCTCAGGAAAGGACAGCCCAAATAAAGAGGAAGAAGAAACTGCAGTGTAGGTCCCCAAGCCCAAGACCAGCCTGAGAGACCCACCTGCTGGGCTTGTTGTCAAAGGGTACTGCAAGGATTTCCAGGCAGGCAGGAGATCTGAATGCAGGTATCTTCGATGTCCAGGAGGTGACTGACGGGCAGCAGCCACTCAGGTGTTTGTGTTGAGGCAGCTGGACGCGGTCCTGCAGGCCAAGAGGGGGTCTGTGCACAGGGCGAGGACCCAGGCTCCATCTGAGGGGCAAGCAGGCTGTCAGGCACGGCCAGCAGGTGGGCAGCCAGGGAGAAAGAGACCTGGGCCTCGGGGCACCCCAGTCACCTAGGAACTATTTCCAGCAACAACAGTTTCTGATTTTTTTTGTTGTTTTGTTTTGTTTTGAGACAGAATCTCGCTCTCACTCAGGCTGGGTGCAGTGGCACGATTTTGGCTCATTGTAACCTCTGCCTCCCGGATTCAAGCAATTCTCATGCCTCAGCCTCCTGAGTAGCTGGGAATACAGGCCTGTACCACCACACCTAACTAATTTTCGTATTTTTAGGAGAAATGGGATTTTTGCCACGTAGGCCAGATTCGTCTCAAACTCCTGGCCTCAAGTGATCCACCTGCCTCAGCCTCCCAAAGTGCTGGGTTTACAGGTGTGAGCCACTATGTCCAGCCCCTGATTCTTATATGAAGCAAGGGAGCACAAATGGTACAAAAGTTCTAATTTTTAAACAGCAGAATGTATCACTGTTAGCTTTGTAAATTCCCCCATTGCTTTCACTCTTTGAAAATTACTATCCTTCCAGAGGCTCACGTACTATTCTACTTTCTGCTAATTTTTCTATGAATTTTTAAACATATTTGACTTTAATTTTCTTTTAGTTCACAGGATAGGATGTGTATTTAAAATTAATTTTTCTCTAATGTGCTATATCTCAAAATCAGCTGTGAATCCTCCCCCACTGCTTTGTACGGCTTGTTTTATTGTATATTCCGTTCTGACTCACAGTTCACTCTATTTGCATTAGTTTAACAAACACATGCGGACTCCACACCACGAGCGGGGCCCTCTTCTGGGTGCTGAAGATGCCACAGTGAACAACTCGGCTGTCACAACTGGACTTACAGGGCATTCTCATTGTAGGAGACAAGATACACAAGGAAATAAACTATCATCTATCACATGGTGATAAACTTCATGAAGAAAAATAAATCAAAGAAAGGGATTAGAGAATTCCAGCTGGGTGGGTGAGGCCCACCCTAAAACTGGGTGTTTAGAGAAGGCCTTACCAAGAAGGGGGCATTGACAAAGACCCCCAGGGGGACGGGTCCATGAGGAAAACATTCCAGCACACAGAAAGCATGTGCAAAGGCCCCAGGAGGGTCACGTCAGTGCCTTGAAAGAGGCCAGTGCTGGGTGAAGGCAGGGAGTGGCAGGAGGTGACAGGGAAGGTGGCCAGCAGTTCAGGTGGAGACTCCACTATGAGGACACTGATGGTGACCCTGAGTGAGACGGGACATCCATGTCCTTGGGATGCCGGAACTAACTCCCACAGCGTGGCAGCTTAAGGAAACAGACACTCACCCTCTCACAGCTGTGGAGGCCAAAAGTCCAGAATCAAGGTGTTGGCCAAGTCGGTTCCTCCAGGAGGCTCCAGTGTTTCCAAAGCATGGGCCACAACCGCAGAGGTATCTTCAGCCTCACTCTTTTCTAGTGCCTCCTCATTACCTTAACACCTTCTGTTTCTAATCAATTGTGTAATTACACAAGCCACGGGCTTTCTACATCAGGGTCTCCCTTACATGCGAGACGGAGGCTCACACAGCACGTAAGGAACAACGTGTTGCCGATCCTGCCTCTGGCAGGGAACCCCAACTCCTGGCAGCTGCAGCCCCCTTTGCTGTTCCTTGGCTTGTGGGCACATCACTCCCATCTCTGCTGCCATCTTCACGTGGTCTGGTCTTGTCTGTGTCTTGGTGTCTCTGCCTATCTGTCTCTTCTTATAAGGACACAAGTCATTGGATTTAGGGACCACTCTAACTAAATCTAGGATGCTCTTTTATGGAGACCCTTAATCACATCTGAAAAAAACCCCCTATTTCTGAATAAGGGCACACTCACAGCAATGCTGGTTAGGAGTGGGGCACATCTTTTGGGGAGACACAACTCAACCCCGTCCATGTGGAAAGGGTCTTTGAACACAACAGGGCCATGATCTGTGTTAAGGGGTCGTTCCGGCTGCTGAATGGATAGGGGTAAGAGGGTTCGGGCAGCAGCAGAGAGCCCAGTTAGGAGACTGTCCCGGTTATCCAGGCAAGAGGCGGCAGCTGGTTGAACAAGTCCGTGGTGGTGGCAGTAATAGTTCCACGAGACAAATTACGTAAGACGTAGAAGGAGTAGTTATTCAAAAGGTGATTCTAACCTCTTAGTCACTTAATCACTTAAATTGTTATTTTTTTGCAACTGTCAAACTATTTCACTTCTGTTTCTCTACGTTTTTAAATATCTCATAGAGTTAATCCCCTTCTTCCTTTTCTTAGTTGGATTCTATAAATCTATTAGTTTGCTTGAGACAATATTTTGTCTTCTCTTTCATGAATACTGTATATATGTAAGAGTATGAACGGATAGATTGATTGATGTCAATTTATTCAAGTCGTTTATTATCTCTTAAATATTTTTTAACTTTTTGATAGCCAGGACACATTCCTCAATAGATTTATTGCCAAGGTTTCTTGTGGAAAAAGGGTTGATACTGTGGACAGGATATATATTTTTATTACATCAACTGGTGCCTGCTAATAATGAACGAGACTATTAATTTTGGCATGCTTATTTTAGATCTAGTACTTTATTGAATCATTTTATTAAATATTATTATTTCTGCTGATTCTTCTGCACATTCTGGTTTTCCATTATATTAAGCACAAATAATTATCTTTTCTCTCTTCCCATTATTATACCTCTTTATTTTTTTTATGTCTCATTGCATTAACTAGAGCTTTTAGGACACTATTAAGGAATCATTTTTGTTCCAATTTTTAAACAGAATCTCCTTCATCTATCCATTAAGCATAATATGGACTCTTATTTTCCACAATTTTTATCATGATAAAAAAAAGTAGACTCTATTCCTAATATTTTAATGTTTTTGGAACTGTATTGTGTTATCAGTTGTCTTTTAGATGTGTCATTCATTTTAATTTAACCATTAACATCATGTATCTTAGTAGCGTGTGCTCTCATGTTGGATTTCTTGCATTGTGGAATATACCTTCCAGCGTGCTCCTTTAGATGGGCTTAAAGCAAGATTTCAGGGTGTTAGTTTGTGCATTTCTATTTTTCTTTTTATGATTAGAGATCTGCTTGATTTGGTTGACATCCTCCTTCAAATCAATATTCTCATATTATAATATTCATGAGAACTATGGTACCTTGGAAGAGGGTTTTGGAGAACTGGCTACTAATAAGTTGTATTAACACTTCCGGAAAAAGCACTAGCTTTCAGTGTCAGTATTATTATGATAAAACTGTATTTATGAAATGCCTCTAATAGTCACTAATGCTTTGGTGTGGTTCAGAATAGCTCTCGTCCCCTAGGAACTAACAACACCAACTTGTAGATAGCATCGGATTTTGCAGTTCCTAGATCGTCTCCACATCCATGGTCATGGGCAGCATTATTAGGCCCATTTTTACACATGAGGAATCTGATACTGACATGAATAGAAATTTACATGAGGTCATCTAAGCAACCAAGGACAGGCAGAGGCAGAACTTAGACTCAGGAGTCCTGATCCCAACCCAGTGCTCCTTTCAGTACGGCACACTGACTCAACACCCAGCAACTAACAACATTCAGCAAAAGCATGAGAAGACATTGTGTTCTAAGCTGAGGCTGGATAACAATTGCTATGGAAGAGACTGGAAAGGATTCTTCTGGAGCCCCCATGCACCCCAGTGCTGCTTCCCAACCATTATCCCCATTTGCCTTGAATAACCCCACTGCTCCTTTAAACTTCAGGCCAGTGAGTGGCATCATCCTGTGCCCTCCCAACTGGTGCCACCTGCTGACCTCTTCAGCCACGGAACCATACTCATTCTAGCATCTGGCCCAGAAGCCTCCTCTCCATCTTCATTTCTCATCATCCGAGGTGACCTGGTGTCCTTATGGAAGACAACTCTGAATTCTTCCTTGACCTCTTCAGCTCTACTGGTCATGTTGACATCACTTCAGCCATCCAGACCCACGGCCTCACTTTGGACCTCAGGAGGACCTCACCCCGGAATATTAAGCTTTGACATCCTTCTCTCTGACCATAATTTCTTAGCCTTCATCTCTAAAATAAGCCTTCCCAGCTGTTCCCTCACCTGGGTCTTTCCCATGTTGCCCCCATCTGTGGGCCCTTTTCTTGCCTCAGTTTTTCCACTCTCCAGGCTGGGTCACAAGGTTGATCACCAGGACTGAAGGAGACCTCCTGCCCACCCCCTCACCCCCGGAAGCTGAGGGATGAGGGGCGGGCAGTAGAGCTGGTGGAGGAAGGAGAACAGGATTCTCTGAGGAGCTGCTTCAGGCTGAGGTCCTGTCCTCTGAGGATGCACTGGTGTCAGGGTTGGAAGAGGGTGTGCCTGTGTGTCCCTGATGTCCTAAAGAGGGTGCCCCAGGGCACATGAGGGCCATTCTGCCCCTCCAAGCCCCAGCCCCTGACTTATCCATGGTGCCTCTAGATCTCACTCCAGCTCTCATACCCCTTCCCTTCCTGGGGTTTTCCCTGCCAGCATCGTCCAGTCCCCAAGCCTGTCCATGGCGCTCTGCTCACTGCCATCTGGGCCACCAGCCAGCGCCTCAGCGGACCCTTTAGCAATCCATGGGGTGGGCTCTGCCTTGGTCTCTCCTGGTCTGATGCCAACCCGGCCACTTCATTTCCTGCTAGGGGAGCTCTCTTCAGCTCCCAAGTTGGTCCAAATTGGTCTGGTCTCTTCCAGGCTTCAGAGCTGGTACACAAAGAACAAAGGCCAGTTAGTCTCCAATTCTGCAATTATTCAAAGTTCAGGCTTTAAAACGCAGAGATTTTTCTGCTTCATCTACCCACAGCTCAGCAACTGTATTTCTACACCTATTGTTATTCTATTTCTGTTCCTAATTGCTATTGTAGAAAACCGTGCCTAGCTGAAGCTTCGGGAGTTGCCAGTCTGTGGGCTCCCTTCAAATGTAAATGTGTTATGCAAATGTCTTCTGCGGCTGGGAGCGGGATCCTGTGGTCTTCCCTGGGTAGAGACCGGAGGAGAATACTGCTGGGATGGCTGGGAAACAGGAGACAATCCGCTGCCCTCGTTATTTAAACCTTCACTGTTCTGAGGTGGTTTACTGTCTCCAACTTCCTCTCCCGCTCTAGCAGCTGAATTTAAAATACTTGCTACAGAACCCTGCTTCTTCCGGGCAGGGAACACTGCCACTTAACCCTTCCATGCTGGTTCCCTGTGGGGACACAGCGTGTGGGCCAGCTGCGCCTCTCCCAGGGTCTCAGGACCATGTCGGTAAGGTAGATGCTATTAGAATCTAGGAACCTTTTTTTTTTTTTTTTTTTTTTTTTTTTTTTGGAAAACCCCCTTTTTTTTTTTTTTTTTTTTTTTTTTTTAATATGGAAGACCACCCATCTAAATAATGCATTGAAATGGATCCGTTATCTTCGTTCGCAAAACCTTAAAGCGTCAGTGCTGGTGGAGACCTTGCCATTCCAAGCAGAGTTTGAATCCTTCCAAAACCGGCCACTAAGTCAATACAAATGTTGTTTTCCAGGAGTTGTTGGTCCCTTCAGGAGAGCTCCTTCACTCACGCATCTGTCTTCCCAGCTCCCCCTCCCCTGTTCCTGAGCCCGGAGCTGCCCTCCGCCTCCACTGCCCATCATCGTGCCACGCAGGCGCTGGCTTTTCTTTTCTTTTTATTTAATTGTACTTTAAGTTCTGGGATACACGTGCAGAGGATGCAGGTTTGCTACGTAGATACACATGTGCCATGGTGGTTTGCTGTACCCATCAACCTGTCGTCGAGGCTCTAAACCCGCATGCATTAGGTATTTGTCCTAATGCTCTCCCTCCCCTTGCCGCCCTCCCCAGGTGCTGGATTTTCACTGTCCTGAGATTTTCACTCTCCCTCAGGCCTTCCTCACCAACCTCCCCTTATCCTCAGCAGCAATTTGGTCCAAAGAAAGTTCTCAGCTTCTGAATGAACAAGCCCTCAAATCCATGAGCTCCTTGACTCAGTGCTTGCGCTGTGCTGAGCCAGGTACTCACAGGACACTCGGCCCTGCTGGCTGGGGCCCCACATCTGTGGGTCTGACAAAATGCAGATCTGAAATATCTGGGGGGAGCAAGCCTGTACTGAACATATATAGAATATTTTTCTTATCAATGTTCCCTAAACAATCAAGTATAACAACTATTTACATAGCATTACATTGTGTGAGGTATGATAAGTAATATTGAGATGACTTAAAGAATACGGAAGGTTTTGCATGGGTTATATGCAAATACTGCACCATTTAGTATCAGGAGCTTGAGTTTCTGTGGATTTTGGAATCACCTGGATTCCCTGAACCAGTCCCCCAGGAACACAGTGGGAAAACTGTATTAATTTATTTACCTCTTTTGTGTTTATCAGTAGCTTCTGCGTTCCACAGTTTGTATTGCTGCTATTTCCAAAATGTGGGGTGAAAAGTTAACCACAAATGTACAGAAATGTATTCTGTGCATTCTAAAACAAATTCTAAACTATATGAAAGGAGAGGACAAAGCAGAACATGCTTGAAAAACAGCTCAGGCCCGTGACCTTTAGCTGTCTGGCTTTCGTGTTTTACACTGTCATGTTCACTCAGTATTCTCGCAGCTCTGCTGTACATTCCGAATTTCGGAGAAAGAAAGGGGTGCTAGCTCTTTGCCGGAATACCATTTATGTTCTAAAGTGCTCAAAGTACTTTCAAGTGCAATCAGCTTATTTATGAGGCAGAGACGATGCTGTTCTCTGCCTACCTCATAGGGTCACTGGGAGGATCACCGGGTTGGGGAATATATATTTGTGTTTCGACACAGCAGAAAGAAAATCTTTGTGTAAATTCAGGGTGGCTTTATAATGATCCAGCTAGATTGGAATATCTGATCAAAGCGGATCACTCTGAACCACTTAGTTACAACATGATCTCCTTTTTTTTTTCCAGATCTAATAATACATCACAAATTGACATGTGTTTGTGAGAATGATTTATGGTCAACTCGAGGCTCAGACGTGGCCACAGGCATTCCATATTCCTTCCCCTTTACTTAATTTCATTACAGCCTTGCCCCATAGTGCCTATTTCTATAGCAGTCTCTGAGTTCATCACATTTTTATCAGGAAACTAATCGATCACTGGCTTGCACAAAATATCAATTAGGCCAGGGCAGTGGTTCACACCTGTAATCCCAGCACTTTGGGGGGATGAGGCAGGAGGATCACTTGAGCTCAGGAGTTTGAGACTAGCCTGGGCAACCTAGTGAGACCCCATCTCAACTAAAAATTAAAAAAAAAAAAAATTGGCCAAGTGTGGTGGCACACACCCACGTAGTCCCAGCTGCTCGGGAGGCTGAGGCGGGAGATCTCATGAGCTCTCCAGCTTGGGCAACTGAACAAGACTCTCCCTCAAAAATAATAGTAATATATAAATTTGTCTGCAATTGTGAAAAATAAATAAATTTCCACACTAGATTCAAGTCCCCGAGTTTTAACTGGAGAACTGAGGCAGGTATTTTACTGCCCTGGCCCCACGAGGCCTTTCAAACCCGTGACTTGCGTAGTCACGCCAAGGCCTCAGAACCCTTCCCTTCCCATCCTGAGAGCCCAGAAAGAATTCTGCAACTGTCCGTGAGCCAGCCGGACTTGAACAGGCTAGCTGACCTCACTACTCCAGAAAGAAACATTAGCTTGCTCACAAGAGCTTCCCTCACAGACTTGGTGCAGAGGTCTAGGGGTCACGTGGCGGCCGCAGCCTCCATGTGTCTGTGCCCTGAGCTGGCACGTACAGAACACCCCGTGTGCTAGGGACCAGACCCTGCTCTGGAGAAAGCTCCAGCGAAAGGTCACGTGTGCGCAGAAACATGTGACTATTGAACACCCTCCTCTTCTCCATCACAAAACCTCTTTATCGTTCCTCCTCTGCGGGCAAAAACTGTGGGAAACTCTCACGTGACGCAGAATTTTTTTCTGACAATATCTGGAACTAAAGACCCATAGTCAGGTTAAAAATCACATTCTCACTGAAACAATTTATGAAAAGCCTATTACCTAGCAATTTTATATTTGAAGGCAATTATGTTAATGTTATTAGTACATTATGAATGGCACTAATATGATTGCTGTTTTGTGTGGTATTACAGGAAATTAATTTAAATGGATTTACATATTTTTTAGATAAAGGGCACTGCTAACATGGATAAATAAGAAGGCTGACGTTACTTTTAAAAAATGTTTTTAAAAAGTACTGAGAGAGCCGGGTTGTGACTTCATTTGTAATAGTAACACACCATTATCGTGCTTTTTTGTTGATGTGACTATTCTGCAATTTCCAAAGCGTTTTTCTTGTTTAATGCAGCAATCTGAATTAATTTCCCAGCCTCTGCCAATGTGCCTTTAGCCCATTTTATACTTGAGGGAGTTAAGAGTTAAGGGAAGGAAACTTGCCCCAATTTATACCCAGAATCTAGACAGTACAGTATGCAAACTCAAATTGCCGAGAACTCAGCTCCTACACTTTACATCATCAGGGACTGTAGCTTTTCACATCAAATCATTCAGAGTCGTAATTAAAGAAGGCCGGGCCTCTGGAAGCTCTCCTTCCTAGGATTTTGATGAAAGGACATGCTCGTTTCTGCACTGAGCAAGGCTGATTTCCATGTCACAGTACGCTTTCTGCATCTCCTGCTTATCCAGAGGAGAGCCACCAGCCTCCCGAGCTCAGAGCTCAGTCCTCCCTCCCAATCGCTCCGCATTCACTGTGCATGCTCTATGCACTGCTGGGCTATTCACACTGCTGCTGGAGACCAAGCATGAACACAAAGCAAGCTAGCAGCAGAAGACACTGTGCGCACTCAACCCGTGCAAACTTTAGGTGCCAGCTGAAGTCGCTGAAGGGTGACAGGGCGGTCACAGGTGTGGTTGAGAAAAGCCGCCCAGAAACAAGATCTGCGCTGGGCCTAGACAGAGATTCCTGACAAGGAGTCCCGGGGCAGCTGAGTTCAGGGGACTATGGGTGCAAAGGCAGAGGGCAATTTGCAGGGCATGTCCACGGTGAGGGCAGAGCTTCGGCTAGTTGGAAACTAGGGGGTGAAAGTGAGTTGGGAACAAACTGCAGATATCCTCTAGGCTTGGGCGGGGCGGCGGTGGGGCGAGGTGGTGGGGGGCTTGCTGCCAACTTTTAAACACCCGAAATTGACAAGGGAGAAGCTGCCTCTGGCAAAACCGATCTGGCAACTGTGCAGAAAACCGGGTTAAGACACAAGTCTTTTGCAAGTCCGTAGGCCTGGGGTGATAAAGGCCTGAACTACCTAGGAGGGATGGCCTCTGCCCCAAGCCAAGTGACATTATCAAATCCAATGAACTAGTAAGCTCGGAATCATAATTTTATGGTGATAGATCCTAGCGATGGATGATTTGCTTTTAAACTGGAAGTGCTTTGAGAACCGGCACTCTATCTTGTCTATTTTCAGCTTGTAGTTAAGAGCCAGCTGCCACCCTTGCTGAATGAATAAACACATGCATGAACGAATGAAGGCAGATGTGTGTGAATGGGTGAAATCTAAAGATATTTTGTGGTAGATCATTTCCTGACTAATGGTAGGGATTCTGACCCTGATAGGCTTACAGGAAGCTGCTCGTCAGTCTGGCCTGGCCTGGGTGGCTCCATCACCTGTACACAGGCCCCCTCTGGTCCTTGTCCTTTTCCCTGGATGAGGGAGGCCTGCAGGCTGACAGCCACAGGTGTTCCTCCTGGGCCTGTCAGACGGGCACTCTTTAGCACCCTGGGTATTTGTTTTAATAGAACAAATGTGGGTAAATACAGCCTCCAAGCACAGAGTGAGGTGAGAATAATATTCTTTTCTACCTTCAGTGATTATTGTGAGGATTAAATGAGTTAATATATATGCATAGAGCAGTAGCTGATGTATAAGAAGCATACAGTGTTAGCTATTGTTATTATTTGTTACCATTAAACAAATTGCCCCGTCTATTATATTCTTAATATTTCCATTCTAGAAATAAGCTAAATAAGAACAATTCCTTCATTTCTTTCAGCAGCATCAGCTTCTGTACTTTCCTTTAAAACCGCAGTTAATTTCTAAGTAGCTAGTTGACATGTTGATGATTGAGGTTAAATATTACATCAGAATGTTATTTTAGAGATTAAAGAAAAAGAACACCTAAACTTTTATATTTAGCATTTACCATAATTCCTAATCAAAAATTACTATAATATTTTGATTACTGTACAATTCACTTCTGTAAATAATAATTTGACCCATAAATTTAAATGGATATTGGTGC